TAGTTTCATTCATCTACTTATGGGTGTCAAGTTTTCCCAGCACCGTTTACTGAAGAGGTAGTGTTTTCCCCCAATGTATGTTCTTGCTTCCTTTGTCAAGGATCAGTTGGCTGTTAGTATATGGGTTGATTTCTGGGTTCTCTGTTCTGTTCCGTTTGTCCAAGTGTCTGGTTTTATGCCGGTACCATGCTGTTTTGGTTACTATAGGTTTGTAGTATAATCTGAAGTCAAGAAGTGTAATGCCTCTGGATTTATTTTTTTGCTCAGGATTGCTATGGCTATTTGGGCTCTTTTGTAGCTGCATGTGAATGTTAGAATTGTTTTTTTCTATTTCTGAATGTCATTGAAATTTCGATGGGGATTCAATTGAATCTGTAGATCACCTTTGGTACTATGAATGTTTTCACAATGTTAATTCTTCCAATTCAAGAGCATTGAATATCTCCTTCTTTTTGTGTTCTCTTTCTTTCATCAGTGATTGGAAATTGTCATTGTCGAGATGTTTCACCTCCTTGCTTAAATTGATTCCTAAGTATCTTATTTTATTTGATAACTATTGTAAATGGGCTTGCCTTGTTGATTTCTTTTTCTACTAGTTCACTATTGGAGTGTAAAAACATTACTGATTTTTGTGTGTTGATTTCATATCCTGCACTTTGGTGAAATCATTTATCATCTCTAAGAGTTTTTTTGTAGCATCTTTAGGTTTTCCTATATATACAATCATGTCTTCTGTAAACAGTTACAGTTTGACTCTGTCTTTTCCAATCTGGAAGCCCTTTATGTCTTTCTCTGGCCTGATTGCCCTGACTAATACTTCCAATACTATTTTAAATAGGAGTGGTGAGAGTAGGAATCCTTGTCTTCTTCCCTTTCTTAAGGGAAAAGCTTTCAACATTTCCCCATTCAGGATGACATTGGCAGTGGCTTGACATATATAGTTTTTATTGTGTTGCGATATTTCCTTTTATAACTAATTTCCTGAGAGTCTTTATCACAAAGTTATGTTGAATTTTGTCCAATGCTTTTTCTGCACCTATTGAGATAATTATATGATTTTTGTCCTTGATTTTATTGATGTGGTGTGTCACATGTATTGAATTGCATATTTGGAACCAGCCTTGCACCCGAGATGAATCCCACTTGATCATGACATAAAATTTCTTAGTTTGTTGCTGTATTCAGGTTACTAATATTTTGTAGAGGATTTTGTGTCTATGCTCATCACAGATATTGGCATGTGGTTTTCTTTTCTTGTTGTATGTTTGTCTGATTTTGGTATCAGGGTGATGCTGGCCTCATAGAATGAGTTTGGGAGAATGGCCTCTGTTTTAATGTTTGGGAATAGTTTGAAGAGAATTGATATTAATTCCTCCTTAAAGTTTGATAGAATTGTGCAGTAAATCCATCTGGTCTTGGGCATTTCATTGTTGGGAAACTGCTGATTACTGCTTCAATCACATTGCTTATTATCGGTCTGTTCAGATTTTCTATTCTTGGTTCAGTCTTGTTAGTTTATATGGACCCACAAACTTATAAATTTCCTCTAGGCTTTCAAATATTTTGGTGTATAGTTGTTTATAATAGTTTGTACTGATTCTTTGTATTTCTGTGGTACTGATTGTAATGTGTCCTTTTTCATTTCTGATTTTTGTTCTTTGAGTCTCTTTCTCTCTCTCTCCATCTCTCTCTCTCTCTAGTT